TGCCATTAATGAACTTCATTAAGAGTTCAAAGCGCCTCTTGCTCGTAAAAAAGGACATTGAGAACTTGTAAAGAGGATGCTCAGATATAGACAGCACCAACGACTTCTACTATATAATACATTATTCTAATCAAAATGAGATACAATGCAGAAAAGATGTCGGGCTTAATGCTAAACTGGTGCAACCGTCCAGCAGCGGGGGCATTGTAACCCCAAGGGTAATAACCTTTCTAATACACATGAGCAATCCGGACCTACGATGTCTCACCCCATTAGACAGTAGTATCGAGGCTACCCTGTAGTTTAGAGCAACGCTGAAATACGAACAGAGCAAAGAAAAAGTCTTGGAAATCGTATCTTTATAAAGTTTCCTGATCATATCACAAGCCAAGTAATTTACAAAGGTTTTTAAAAATCTTTATCTCGTGGAGGCCCTACATTTTTCGTTAAAACAGATAGAACCTTCATAATTAATCGAAATTGGGTGAATGCCTTCCGGCCTAACTCGGGAAAGGGGTTCAGAAGTGTTAAAAGGGGTCATAACTACACAAAAGGGCAGCATAACTATGTGTGGAGTAAAATATCTATGGTCCACGTTTCTCTTTTACAATAAATTTATCAATGAAGCACCAACTCGAATAACTTCTTTTCAATAATTGGTTTTCGAGAAGATAATAATCAATTCATACCTTCGAATAAATAATGAAATTTACACTACAGTTCTGATATAATTAAAACACGCGGTATAAACTTAAAGGTATGAAGTAATGGGGGACTAAGCCTGGCATATAGTAAAATACTTTAGCTAATAAATCTCAAAAGCGGGAGATGTATGTTAAACATACTTTAAACACAGTATTTCTATTATACATTACTGATAAACCCAACCAATCAGAGAAAGCGAAAGTTTAACTTCTATTAAAAATACATACTCCGTTAAACCTAGGCGATTTTTTATACAAATTTCTCAGATGAATAACTGTCTGTCGAGTGGGAATACGATATATGAGACGGGAAGGAGAACAAAGTAAATCAATAATAAAAATATCCTAAAGGAATGAAAGAGGATGGCTTTTATTCCGAAATCACAAATGTTCTTATATTCGCGAAGTCAACCTTGACAGAGAGCCAAAGGTAAAACGGTTACAAAATTTTAAGTAAATAATCACGGGTATATAATAAAAGGAACATTATTTTATAAAAGTATTTTTCTTTAATTTATATGTCGAACTGTCAATGCACCTATTTATTTGTAAGTATATGTATAAGTTGCTATTTGTTTAAGCGGTTGAGGAAAATTCTGAAAAACATTGACAATAAAGCTGGTTATATCATTTCCCTGCCCCTACATCCATCCATTATCACGGATAATTGGTACGCTATCGCACTTTTAAAAATAGCCAGAACCCAAAGGTCTGCGTAATTGCATGAAAAAAGCAGAGTTGTCCCGAATAAAATTCTTTTGCTACAACTAAAGAATTTGCACAAATTTTAGTTTTATTCCTTACTTTTAACTTTCAATATTTCTAAGACATGTCATTTTACTGTACAATGTTTAGGAAATCCGGTGTATGCAATGCTTTATTCAGCATATCATAAATTGCGACTGAAACCTTTTTTTCGATACTTGCAAAAGTGAATAATTCCGCTTGTATAATTTCCCCCATTTTCACTTTGTCTCTAGTTTCCGATGGACGAGTTCGTGTTGAAGTAGCAGAAACAAGCGATGGTATGAACAAGGTCTTCCAATGCAAGGCTTACGGTGAGCAATTCTGATGCATATACATTAAACTTTTTTGTAACTTTTTTCTTGTACATTTATTAAATTATATCAAGTGAGGGATGCAAGACAGACTGTAATTTTACTGAAACGGTTATTACTTAATTAATTGCCTACGAAACAGTCGTTAAGTACAGCTGGCTAAAAATATTTTTTTAAATTTCATGCTGAAAAAATTAGGCAAAACGGATGAAGCAAATATTTTTGATCGGAGTTTTTATCTGCACTATTTGCTTGATCTGATTCTTGGCAGCCAGTAGTTCTACCGAGAACGGATTTAAACAGAAACCGGTCTTTTGGCATAATTCCCCATTTCGAAGGAAGAAATTCGTGATGTGGTCTCCCCGAAAACCCAACAAAGATTGTTTAATTGTCTGAATAACTCCTCGGCTCACCATTCTGCGATCCCGATAAAATTATACCAAGCTTTCGTATCTACTGTGAAGGACATGATGATAGCAGGAATGCATATTTCACGAAATGGAGCAATAGAAAAGGTGGTCGGCATACATCTAACTTCGCGATCTTATTGAGACATCCCATTACTTGACTGGCTATTTCAATCTTAGTCTACATGCTTGCAAATGGGTGAACTTACTTCCCTAACCTGAAGTGTGTTCGGTGGCAGCTGTTTCCTTACACAAATAAACAAGTGTACGATCCTCTGATGTTGAATCATGTATGAGCTTGTGCTATTGTATATTATCTGTATGTAATGTTCATATCATGGAAAGTGTGATAATCTTGGCTAGATTCAAGGCTAATCCGGCCTCCCCCTCTTGTTTAGTGACTCTTCCTGCACCCCCTCTCTTGCATTCTCCTCAAGTCTATCCAACAGCTACAAAGAGTTCCTACTCAGTTTTCTACACTTGTTCCGCCTATTCGGGACGTTGGCTGTTTTGTAATTTCTATAGATTCTCTATTCTTACGCTTTGATGTTAAGTTCCCGTAATCGGTTAGACGTTTTGCTTTGTACCGGTCTATAGAGTGTCCTATATTGGTCATGTCTCGCGGTTTAAGGCAAACTAAAGGCCGGATTCTCAAGCAAATTGAAAAATGCATGATTATCCTTTAACTAAACAGATTCACAGGCTGTTTGTCTGCCCCCTCGATATCTCTTGATAGAACAGATGATTAACATTAGTTTGATTAATATTTTGCCAATGTGAGAGATATTCACCCGATTACTGACTTACTGGTAATCTCGAAGCTCTACTTAAATACGAACATATTTTGCCAGCACTGAAATGACAAACAGACAGACAGACAGGCAGATGATATAAGCACACGCGCACTCAAAAATTCGGTAGTAAATAGAAAATTCTAAACTGGATAGAGGCAAATTATACGGAACTGTCAGAACTACCCTATAAATTCCTGAACCAAATAGGTTTATTGTATAGTAAGCATTTATATGGACGAAAAGTGACAGCGTTATCGAGGGGGAACATTCTAGTTGTTAGGGTTCCAAGGATTCATGCGATTGATATTCTACAATGCGTATTAGAATCTGCCGGAGATTTAGTGTAAAACTGCATCCTTATGTAAAATTTATTCCTACCCACAACTCTATTTGCTCCTTGCCCGCTGGTTCGGACCCTTCGTGCAGACTCTTTGACCGGCTATGAGTTGACAAAAGACGTCTCCTACGGCTGGAAGTTCGCTTCAAAATCCACTGGCGAGGATGTCAGCCCGGGTCATCTATTCGCTTCAATGCAGGAGCAAGGAAATGAGCTCGAGATCAGCTACTCCAGCCCAATGAATATACCGTTCTATCTCCATCAACTGGGCATTGTGGAGGGCACATGCGTCGTTTTGGTGCCCAGCTATGCTGGAAAACTCGATTTTGTCGAGGGTAGCGTGAATACCTACTATTCTGAGCCCTTTATAGAAATCGATCCCAACCAAGGCAAGGAAGAGGTAATAGTCAAATTGCCGGGGTCACCCAAACGAGGTATGTTGCTTTTCTTAAAGCATGCAACATGTTTATACTTATTGTGATCAAGGGCGAAATGGCAACTTTGGCTAGCTTATCTGATTTTTTATGATTGATTTAAGCATATCCTTTGAGAGCAATTAATGCAAACATATTTGTATCCGGGGGGGGGAGATGTTATGAAATTGAATAAATCACTCTCAATAGCCTTCATCACAGATCCTAAAAACGGATTCACTTCAGGAATATGCTAAACCTATAAGAATAATTAAGGTATTTTTTAGAAGAAGAGACTCAGGATTCTGAGAATGCATTATCAATAGACTCAAAATTTAAAAGATTTTTTCCTAATTGTACTTAAATTTAATATATAATCAGCCAGCGAATCATTATGCCATGATCGTATGCATTTAACTTATTTTGGAAGCTGGTTTAGCGAGATTTTTATAAATTGTCTCAACCCAATTGGGTTAATCAAGTTTTTTACACTGCCCTCTGCTAATATAAACTAAGCAGATTGGCGCGAAACTAGTCTCGGGATTCCAATTAACATATAATAACCGGGCGGTGTTAGTGAATTGATATAATTACCATCAGCAAGACAATATTTATCGATATATCCTTCTTATATAGTTTAATTGGTTGAGTTATTCCTTGCTTTTATTGTTAAGGTTCACAATGTTGTAACCTTTCAATCAAAGTTCCGCCAAGGCTGGTGGCGGTGCCACATGTCTGAAATTTTCCATTCCTATTAATTTTAGATTGGAATATACGAAGAAGCCGATTGATAAAAGCTCGCTATTTTTTACCATCTGTCCAATTCATATTCTTGTGCAAGATCTTAAAGATGCATTTTTCTGATTTTCAGGCAAAAAGGCAGGTCTCGTGGTTCAAAGTGTCAAGAATGGTTTGATTACGGTAACATCAGGAGGGACTGTCTCATTGGAGTGCCAGCTAGTGGGTGAGTAGACAGCACTTTACCACTCTAAAAAGCATGCTTGACTTTAAACAATCTTGGCTGTCATTTTTTCTTCACATGGACTTCATGTTTAACGAGCAAATGGATCAGGCAACTCGTTCATGAAGAATATTGTTTAGGGTAACCTGGTTAGCCTCTATAAAAATAACACCCATTCCGATGTTGTTTCGTTTCAATATTTTCGCATTTACAACATGAGGGAGCAGGATGGCTTTACTTGATGATGGAAGTCAGAAAGTTTACTCAATCCGGCAGTAAAGCTGGTTTTGGTGCCTTTATGATAGGTCACTATCCGTTATCTTACAGTTGAGTCGATGCTGGTTGGGGTACTGCAATACTACTGACTCATATCCACATTCCTGTTCAAACTATGTGTTATTGCGTCATGCGGCAATATTTTTGTTATAAGGCAGAGAGATAAGACCTGTTTCTATCTTCCCTTCGAAACAGATCTTGATACGCATGCTGCACTCAACGATGAGATGATTAACTATTCTTGGGACCTACGACGTCGTGACAATTCTCCGGTTGACACGGCCTCTCTAGTCGACACCGCTTTGCTCCTTGAGAAAGCCTCCGGAAAGATGATCACACTGGTAGGCATCAATCGCCTGGCAGGTGGGTTACGTGGACGTTGTTCGGCCATAAACACCACTCTTTCCGAGGCCAACAAAGTTTCCAGTATGGAAGGCCGCGTAGAGGATGGCAGGAGTGATGACGACCCAACAAGCGCAGGAAAACAAGAGGACGAAAAGGAAGACACACAAAAAAGTGGAAAACTCGAATCTGGTGCCATCTGGGTGCAGCCAGGTCAGAGGATATTTTCAGAGTATTTCAACTTTAGAATTATCACTACTCCAGGTGCGAGCTTGGCGCCAGAAGAAGATCGACAGTGGCCTAGGCCTTATGACATTGGTGAGTCGCCATTTTAATCAAAGATATGTGACATCTCCTACAAAGCTTTGATAATAAAATTTTTAATTTCGTTGCTTTAATGAGTACACGAAATAATCTGTTATGAATGAAGTAATATTGTCTGTGGATTAGTCTTTTGTGCTTATTAATTGTCTGTTTGTGAGAATTTGGAAATAATGGTAGTCTTTACAGTACAAGTTTTATATATTAAACAACCTAAGAAAGAAATATCGTCCAATCTGTAGATTATCTTTTCACCTAAGTTATATCGGACAACCTTCTTTTTAGCAATTTCTTTTATCTCTGTCCTTTAGAAGAATGTAAAGAATTTTGTAGTAAGGCTATCACGAGTATGTAGGCTGTATGAACTCAGAATTTTGACGCTTTTTACCCTTTCCAACTTGTATATAAAGGAGTGACACGGCTAATTATTGCACCACTTTTTAGACACCATCCCAAGCAAACTAAACGTTGAGATTACTGGACCTAATTTCGAAGGCGTTGTTTCATACCCTCCGGGAGAAAACTTTACGCTACAGTGCAACTTAAAAGGTAAGAGAAAAGTTAATTTTTCTAGTTATGAGCTAATTGTGCAAATATTTTTCTATACTTTTACTCTGATTTATGTACCTTTATATATATATATATGTTTATTATTGCACAAAATTTACATAACATTAAATTTTGGCAAATTATAAATTTTACTTGCTACGGATAAATCATTAAATTTCGAGAGACCCTTTCTTACACTCTTAACTCTATACTTATTTTATTGTTCTATATTTAACATCGTATCTACTAAAATATTGGTTCAAATAACTTACATCTGACAAAAATACTGTGAAACAAGGGATCAAGTATCAATTAAATTTCCATAGTAATTATATACTCATCTAAATACTGGATTTAAAAAGCCCTAAAGTAGCATATTTGTTAAGTAATGGCAGAAATATCTAGAAAATAATTAAGAATTTATCACTTTGTCAAATGACATTTATACATTTGGAAAGGTAAAAAGTATAACAACAAAAATAATCAGGATATTAACGATAGCATTTTTTAAAATTAGACGAACAAGAAGTAATAATCATATTAATGCTGTTGATCTACCATCTTTTGAATATGTAATTTATTCTGAGTTAAAATAGACATTAAGGTGATTCTACAAGCACGTATATTCGGTTTGTAAACTGACTCAATCCCAGAAATATGAAGCTTTTCATGGGTTTACAAATAAAGTGTAGAACCTTTTGCTTTTGATCTAGTGCTCTGGCTAATCAAAATATCTGCTAATTGTACTTTTCTGCTTTGCCCATCGCTTGCTTATGTCTGAACAATGAGTTATCTCACCCCTAAAGCGCTAAGCCCCTACTTTGATATATAAGAAATCTTAAACCAAAGCATATCTAAACTGGTAAATAGAAGTTCCCTGGCATGAGAGTTGGAAGCCCAATCATTTGTAGGATCAGAATAGTTCTATCTATCGTAATTGGTGGTGAATACACTGTCTGTGCTGCTATATATGCCATTTTTGTATAAGCTTATAACCTTAGGTTTACTTTAATTTATAAAAAACGTTCCGGATAACTGTTATTTATCAAGTTCAAAGTTGATCCTGCCCTTCTTTTTGACCCAAACCTTTTGCTTGTTACATTGCTCTGCCTAAGGATGCATTGGACAGATACGGCAATCGTAAGTCTTGGATAGGTTAGTTTACAACCTTGTAGATACGAAAAGAAACTGGGTTTCGATGAATCTCCTCAGCTAACATTGTTGGGGGCACTTTCATTTCGTATAAAAGTGCATGAAGAAAAGATTCGTAGGTCGATCTCACCAGAAGAGGACGGCTGAATACCATTGTACTATTTCTTACCTCTTCAGGCAATCTATCAGATAAGCTAATTAAACCAACAAGTATTTCCAGAGCATGGTTTACCTCATTTGGAAGAGAAAAATTCAATCCTCTTTCCAATAAAAGTACTACACTATCCTCCAGAGTTGTACTAGAGAAATCGATTACCTTATCCCTAGGGTTAACGTGAGACTTTAACAGGAATGAGACCCAGCTCTGATGATGTCCACCAAATGATGGACGAAAGCTCAGTCCGTATTCACCCGAAACGAAAGAGGAGGTCTCGTGGACTGCGTCAACCCGAACGTCGTATAAAAGCCAAACGGCTGCAGTACAACGGAATTAATCCGTCCCCTTTTGGTGAGATCGACCTCCAAATCTTTTCACCAAACATTTTTATTCGAAATGGGAGCTGAATGATAAAAAATGAATGACCGAAAAGGTTGAGTTATTTTTGAAGGTTATATTTTGTTAGGCATATCTTTATGAGAGAATAGAGATGATAAATCACTGGCCTTTCTCCAAGGGAGCTAACATACCCTAGGCTCAGATATAGAGATTACTTGATAAAAAATCCTATTAAAGATTAGGAACATATTAAAGTGATGGCTTTGCTATTTATTTGCCTTCGAAATGCGTGGAAATTTATATGATTCTATGAATGAGGTATGAAGGAAGTGGAAGTGAGGAATAAACATAGAGAGAGTTGAAAGTAAGTTAAATTAATAATTCGCCTAAATAGCAGGTTTTAGCGCCCTGATAAGATCTGCTCATTTTATTAATGCTATCCGTGAAACACCTTTAAAAGTATCCTGCCACTGATCGGATGCTGGAAGGGAACTTGGCAACAATGGATGGGGACGTTGTATGAGGTAGTTTGTTTAAAGCTAAGCTTCATTTAAGGCATGACTAATTAAAATAAATGAAGTCGAACAAAATCTGTACAACGAAAGAAGACAGCCACAAAACTTGAGGTTACATCTTTCTGCGTATAATAGCTACTTTTATGCCTCAACTGGTCAACATACTCGTGTTCACCTTAACTACGTTGGTTACCTTACATGAGGTGGGTAAAAAATGGTGAGGGATATAGCTGGAACTTTAGTAGTATCAAAAGTCTGTTGAAGAAGATTTATGCAGTAAGTAAAAAGTGTTACATAATAGTTTATGGCCTGAGGTAATTAGGTTTACCTGCATAGAATGCTTGTATTTGAGTATTTATCAGCTCCTTAACCAATTTAGGAAAGATTCTCCTTCACTACTATCCGGTCCAATGTGAACAGACCTTTCGAATCATCCTCAAACGCATGCATTATGTTTAGGGGGCTGGCTAAGATATAATAAAAATTGATGAATATATAAGGGATTCAGATTTAATTGATGAAAATTTTCAAGGCGGATAATAAGATTTCATTTTGCTTATTGCCATTAAATCTGGCGCGATATGAAGTATAATAAGAAAAAATATTTTCTAAAAATATTATGACAGTGTTATTTTAAGGCCATATTTAATTAGCTAACATGGTACCTCGTAATTTTGCCTGTAAGTCGGGAATTCTTTATGGTGAATATATATTCTTTATTTATCGAAATTATAGATTTCCAAGGCAATGTGATTCCCTCGTCCGGCATTCGGCATGGCATGCTGTATGGCTGGGAGCTTCGCTATGGCAGTGGTCGACCTGCTTCGTTGAATCAAATAGGCGCAGAGGTCAACATCGATGCCAAAGAGGGCACATTAAAGGTGAATGGATTCCGCGCTCAACCCGAAGCACCTCCCGGCCTACAACTTCGTTGTCTTGTGGATAGTCCAGCTATTGAAGAAGAGATCGGAGAGGCCGGAGCCGATGGTAGGGTTCGTTATTCCTCCGTATACGCTGATGTAGTGTCGACAACTCGTGATGGCGACGTAATTGTAGAGCAGCCGACCAGAACTCAGGGTGAGGAGGCTAATAATAAATTTATTTAGTGAGGTTGCCTCTGAAAGTAGTCTGAATTTTAGGGTCTTTGACTATTTTTTCTGCGAAAATCATACCTAAATCTGGTTATTATTTATTTTTCATTCTTAAACTTATAGACTCTGTTAAATGGAACCAGACAGGGGGATCTGGCCAGTGTTGTTGTCAAATTCAATCTAAGTGTAAAGTCAAGCGTGCAGTTGTCTTGATATTACATCCAGCTTCACACCAGTTTTATTACTAGTTCTTCTACATTAACCTTTACATTATAATCCTTCAACTTAACAGACTGTCTTATTAGTTTGAGTACAACGTACTCGCCAGATAAAGCTTTATGTATTAATAGTGAAGTTTTTCTAATTGTGAGATGTCGTTGAATTCAGATTAACATTTTCCTCCCAAAATGTCTCACTATTCTGGGAAAATTACAGTTTTGATCTCGCCTAGGGTTGTGCACAAATTACGATCCCCCTGTGTTCTCATAATTGTTATAATTTTGAAGGCAATCCAAGCCTCACAAAGATCATTGATGTGGCTAGTATGTATTTGGAATTACCTTCAGCGATGTTGATTATATTTGCTATGAACATGCTTTGAAAATATCAGCAATTTTTTTATAAAAACTTAGTAATACCTATTCGCTTAAGGTGATTTATTTCTAACAAAATACTTTTCATAGCATTGTGAAAAGTACTCCACTATCAAGGAGTAGCATATCATATTATTGACCTAAGGGGGCTAAATTGATATTCAAGAATCACTGATAACTTAGAAGACCTCATTCAGAATATATAGCTATTCATCTTTATAAAATTTCTCACATTTTTACAGGCTGGAAAGAGTAAGTTTCCCATGTTGAAGCCACCTTCTGCTTCTGCCAACATTCATGACATTATGTGTCAGCGATTTGTCAAAATTAATTATTCAGCCTATTTTAAATTCTTAGCACATGATGAGGCGGTGACAGTAGTTGTGAAATCCAAAGTGATCTAGAAATGGGGCGTAATAACACCAAACTTTTATTATTATACATTTATTCTTTTGACTTGCAGAGCTAGCCTAGAACTATAACCCTATTATGACAGTAATTTTAATTTTCCTTATTCTGTTCTTTTGTTCGTTTCAGAAGAGGCCCCAGAGATTTTCCCAATTGTGGACGGCCTAAATGAATGTGGGAATCTTCCGTTCAGGACAGACGAGGATATTGTCCTAAAATGTCGGCCGAACGGTAATATCAGCTTTGGAAATACATTTTGAATGCATTCGATAATTACTCTTTCGCTGTGTACTCTTATAGCTAACGCTCTAGAGAGTGTATGGCATATACGGATGCTAATAAGCTCAATAAAATTATAATATTTAAGTGTACCACACCTAAAATTTAGCCTACTATATATTATATATATATATATATCTGCTAGTAAACAGAGTAATGTGATCGAATTCTCAGTTCATGCGATAGCGATTTCCCAAATGTGATTAGATGTGTCATCCGTTTTTTTAAATTAGACTATAGTTTCAAATTTTTCTTCTTAAAACTTCATAATTCTGCTAAATACAGACATTATTTATTCGATTCAGATACCAAAATAGACACTTCGAATGTGGCTGTCGCTTGGGAGATCCGACACGCAAATGGACAACTGATTCCAGTGTCAAACCTCCTTGCCAGGTCTATTCGTCAGGAGGGCAATTCGCTATACCTCAATCAGATCGTGAAGCCACAAGCAACTCCCCTTATTGGACGTTGCGTGATACTGAGCAGGCAGAACTTCACTGACGTCTACTCAAGCGCCTATTTCGCAATCAACAAATACGGCAAAGCGTGTGAACCAGGTGATAAAATCTTAGTAACAATGATAACTTAAAGGTACCTCATGATAAGCAGAGTGAAATAATTGTATCCGGGACTATCGAATTAGATCTTTTTGGAAAGACATCCACAAGTTATAGACATCAAATGATGTAGCTTAGGCTATACTAATTGTCTTTGAGGATCGGACTTTGTGCGCGATGGTTTGCAGTTCCAAAGAATGAAAAGATCCAGGAATCTCCGAAGCGGCATAAACAAGTGAAGTCCATCTAATTTGTCTTCCTGGTACCTGATATGTACGTCACCAACAAACTAACAATATATTCGCAGTCACAGTATGCCCTGTAGAAACAATTACCACTATCTGGCAAAGTGACTGTCACCACAACAGTGTTAAGTCGGATAACTATAGAATATTTTCAGAACTGGGCTCTGGTGCTCGTAATTAAGCACACCATTGAGTTGATCATAAAGTTCTGGCGCAAAAACCCAGAATGAAAATATGTCGTATAACGCAATACACGGCACTGTAAATTTATGACCTGGGTGTCTATAAGCATACATACACACACACATACATGCATACATATATGCATAAATACATACACACACATATACATACACACATATATACATACATACATGCATACATACATACATACATACATACATACATACATACATACATACATAC